TGGCCAGAGTGGGGAGGGTGGGGGTGGGGAGGGGGGGGGTTTGGTGTTGGGGGAGACATCTGACACCAGCTTTCTCTGGCTCGAGATTCACCCCCTCTAGATCCTCCCACATCTTCTTATGCAGCCGGCTATTACTCTGTTGACAGTTGCTGCCACGCCAAACTGATATCACACATCTATTGCTTTGTGTTATTCTCTTCTTTTTTGTCTTGAGATTCTCTATGTACAATTTTAACTCACGTTTCTTTCACTCACCCCTCCAATCCCCCCCCTACCACCGCCCCCAACTCCCCCACTCCCCACAAAATCATGGCTACAAGCTTCCTTCCCCTTCTTAAAAAGCTCAGGTCAGTAGACAGTTTAGGCTGTGAAGCACTTTTAAAACCTGACAGAATAGTGAGTGCACTTGTCGTTGAAGCTGGTTTCAGCTGGAGAGGTTTAAAACCAGATTCAGTTAGAAAAAGCTGGCAGAGAGAGAGAGAGAGAGACAGAGGAATTGGTACTTGCTATCGATAGCTGCGAATATAACCTATCATGCGAACGAATTTAGGCTTCGGTGGAAAAAATGGATTTGACGCACAGTTGCCATTCCACCGTGGGATGAAGGCTCCCGAGTTTGGCTCTTACGCAAGCGAGGAAGTCAGTGCAGAACATTGCTGTCTTCAGTCCAACACTTGAGCCCAGCACGACACGGAGAATAAGACAAAACCTCGTCGTGTGTTGTCAGCACGTGCGCTTCACAGCTGTACTGTACAAAATACACATTTCCCCCTCCTCCTTCCTCCCCATCCCTCCCCCGTTCAGCCTTCCCCCAGTCCTTGCGTCAAGCGTAACATCATCGCAGAGGAAAGGCCTATCATTTTCTGCGCAGAGAGCAGCACTGACTTTGGTCAATTGAAAAAAAAAATGAACGACGATTAAAAAGAAAGGGAAGAGAAAAGAAATAAAGCACGAAGGTCGCGACGTATTGCGGCTCGCTAACACCAAATGACTTTGGGTCTGGGTGGGGAGGGGGGAAAAAAAAACACAAGCGAAATGCTTTACCTCTACAGACAAGACTGGTATTGCATATTTTCACGTGAATCGAAAAAAAGCGAAACACTTTCCACCCCCCCCCCCCGCCCCCCAACCCACTCCCCTTCACCCCCCACTCCGCCCCACCCCCACCGCCCCCATTAAAACGTTAGTGACAATAAACGTCCCACAACAAATAGAAAAGAAAAGCAATGTTCCTACACGAATCGCGAGATGAATATATTTCTACGTGGATTAATCCGCGGAATCACTGGAAATACTGATAATTAGTGCTGTTACAATGTGTCCTATGAAGCAAAAAGTTCAGAAATCTTTACAAGTTTTACCGATGGCGTTTTTGCTTTCTTTTTTTTTCTTCTTCTTCTCGAAATGACAAGCACAACCGTACATGCAGTCGAAAACCAGTGTGCGGCGACACCCAAGTTTTTTTTTGTTTAACTTTTCTTTTTTTTCAAAGGCAAGGCACATAATGTGGTATAAAATTCCGTGCAAATCAGGGAAGGGGGGAATCTCTTCATCTAGGGGGTTTTAAGCGGGCGGGGGGGGGGGGTTGTTGAGGTTTTGGGGGTCGGGGTGGTGGTGGGCGGGGGGGGGGGGGCGGAGAAGAAGGAAGGGGAGCAGGTGGGTGGAGGGGGTGGGGGGGGGCCCGGGGTCGGTGGTAAATGAGCACAGAGTTGCCATGCACGTTAAAGAACTCAGCAGTTTTAAGCTGATCGATCGGTTGTTTTGTTGTCGTCTCTTCATCATCATCATCATCATCATCATTATTATTATTATTATTATTATTTTTTGCTGGCTCACGAAAAATTACTATTTAAGCACCATGCATCGCTCAGCACCTTCGATGAGTAACAAGTTAATATAAATATACGTAAAGAGTTTGCCTCACTGTGTGTTTTTTTCTTCTTCTTCTCCCCCCCCTTCCACCCGCCCTCCCGTCCGCCCCCCCCAACACCTCCCACCGCCCACCGCCCACCCCTCCCTTTAAGGGTCCGTGAGTTTGGAATGCCAGCGTTGGCAGCTTACACAAGGCAGGACCTAAACTTGAATATGAACCAACATACAAAACGGGTGTCAAGCGCTCTCCGGGACACCACCCTGCGTGAGGGCTGCTGTATAAATGCAAGTTGTCGTTGTCGTCGAGTCGGGGGTGAGTGGGAGGGTCTGGGGGGGGGGGGGGAGAAAGTGCGGGGGGTGTGGGGCGGGCGGGGGTGTGGGGAGAGGGAAGAAAGGGGGAAGGAAGTAGCTCGTTCGGATGCTAGACTTCTGTCTGTGAAAGCGTTGGCTGACTGACGGGCATGGGGCGGGTGGGGCGGGTGGGGCGGGGTGGGGTGTATGGGGGGGGGGGGGGGTGGGTGGGATGTGCGACCGCTTTGATGCCGAATTTCGCTTCCGAGATTATGTCAGTTTAAGTTGTGATATCGGAGGAAAGAGAAAGTTGGCTCCCCTCTGCTTGAGAAAAAAAAATTAAGAAAATAAAACACTGACTAAGGCATTTGTGTTTACCTGTGAGCGAGAGGGGGGCGAGGTGGGGGGGGAGAGAATAGAGAATAGTTAGGTGCACTTTTGTGCCAAGGTTGTTGGGCAGAAATAAAACATCCCCCTGTTTACAGTCCTGGGGTACAAGGACGAGCTAAAAAAAGATAATCACTATGTTTACAAATTAGTTTCCTTTTCAATTGCACTTGCCTCCTAAATCTTTACAAAAGATTGATTCACTTTTACTTGCTTTTGTTTCCTTTGAACAGGCGTTTTCTCTGAAGTAACCTCTTCCTTTAAGATGCCACAGACACTCACTTCTTTTATTCCTCTTCTTCCTTGTGTGTGTTTTTTCTTTTGGGCCTGGATTTAATTTCCCCGAATTCAAGGTTCGTTCCGAACCCATCGATTTGTCTCCGGTCAAAACGAAGGAAAATAAAAGGGACAAATCGTACCTCTTTCTGCCTCGTTTCTCTTGGGTGCAATATCTACTGACTGAAACGTTAAGTATTTGGGGTCGTGTGTGTGTGTGTGTGTGTGGTTTTTTTTTAAATGTTACATTTCTTTTGAAACATCCCCCCCCCAACCCCCCCACCACCCCACAAAAAGTAGATTTTATTGGGTGGGGGTGCGAGGAGGAGGGGGGGGGGTGGGGGTGGAGAAATCTTTTCTAAAACTGCTCCCGAAATATAATCCGCTAAAACTAAAATACTTTGAATCTGCTGCTATCTGTGTGTTTACGTATTTTTTTCCAATGAAAAAAAAGGCAAGCTATGCAGTTTTGACTGGTTAAACTCCAGCATTTGCTCGCTGCTCACACCCTGGTTCCCCTTCTCCCTCCCCCCGAAGCCTTGGCTTTTGCCGATCGTGCCAACCTAATCCTACTTTCTAGGATTAGGTAAGCAGTATGTGTCCCTCCAGGGAAGAGAGAGCTCATTCCGTTCCAGACACAGGGGAAATTTCTGTACGTTGGCCGGCACAGGTATGTGGATACTCTGAAGCCCGGTGATGAGTTTCCACACGTGTCAGATAAGACAGCGAGCTAACCTTTCAAAATAAATGTAACTTGCAGCCAGGAATAGGGTTGGGGGTTGGTGGGGGTTGGGATGGGGGTGTGGGTGAGGGATCTACATTAGCGTAGATAGTGCGAGGCTTTGCTTTTCACGTCTCATAAAACGTTTGAGTAACTGTATATGACGGATTCCTCTACACTGTTGAGTGTGGAGCCCGTCTGATTCCTCCCAAATACTAACAGCAAAAAAAAAGCTAAGTTATGTATCTTAACGGCCTATGTTGGGCATCAGTAAAGAAGCAAAAAACTACAATCAGCCAGTCTAGTCTGCTGGCTTGCTGGATGAACATCTGTGTCTGTGCTACTAGCTGACATGCATAAACTAAACGATACGTAGTTAGGGTGGGAAAATTTGGGCTTGAAACCGGGGATTTCCTTCAGAGAAGATTACTGACGGAACAGCCCGCCTGGTGGGAGGCTGCGGATGCAAATCGTTTTCGAAAATGTGTTTAAGTTTTTGGGGTAAAAGGTTACCATTCTGAAGCACAACTGGGGGTACGGAGTACCTTACAACACCCGAAGGAAACACGGCTACGAATATGTTCCTGACAGTACGGTTTTGCAGTCACCTCGTCAGTCCGTAAACTAAAATGGAGTAAGAGGTCCCTTCACCACGTTTCCCAGTAACCGATCAATTGGTGAAGCAGTCAAACCCTGCCTTGGGCAATCTGACCTGCAAGTTTAGTACCGAGGAACTAGTCTAGTTAAGAGTAACTTTAACTTGAACCGTAAGGGTTCGCGGGGAATGATTTTATACCAAAGCATTAAACACATTTGTCCGTAGAGTAGAAAAATAATCTCTCGAATGTTTAGCTTGCCAAAATTCTGAAATAAAAACTACAGAACGTAACCTTAGAGTGAAACTATTCGTCCCTACTGTAGTGAGTCTCCATTGTTTAAGCTTCGTAGTCGATTGGGGTGTGGGGTGGGGTGGGGTGGTGGGGGGCTGTTTTTGTTGTTGTCGCTGTCGTTGTCGTTGGGGAAAACGTTTCAAAAGAATAACTCGGGGGATGCAGAATTCATCTCGGTAGTTTTGGGGGGGTGGGGGGGGTGGGTGGGTGGTGGGGGGGGGGAAACACGTTTCGGGACGATTATCATCAAGAAAGTTCCACGTTTTTTTTTCCAGTTTTTTTTTCCTAACAAAAAAAGTTGCGATTTTTTTTTCTCCTGGCAAATTGGGACAAATGTTCTTGTCGATTCGGTTCGAAAGAAAATACGCTCGGGAGGAGAAAAGGAAAATCGAGCTGACCGACGCACGGTAATTTTCCCACCCTGTCGAAAGCAGGCTTTAGTAAAGTTTGTTCTCGATTTATCTTTTTTTTCTCTTAAAAGGAAATATAAAGGCTTATTTGCATAAAACAGATGGTGGAGAGAGAGAGGGGTGGGGGGGGGGGGGGGGTGGTGGTGGTGGGGGGAGGTGGGGTGGGGTGGGGGTGTGGAAAACCTCAGGCAAAAAGCTTCAGCCAATGGAAGAAGTGAATTGCGCCCATCTTCGGAACATGTTAGTAGGATGATAGTGTTTGACTTTTTTTTTCCCCCCCCTCCCCACCCACCCCCGTTTTCTTTTAAAGTCGGGTCGACGAATAACCTTCTTCCTTGTTTCTCTGGGGTTTTAAACGTGGAACCAAAGGCAGTGCTTGACCACGTACGTGTCTTGTAAACGTGATCGGCCGGCATCTGTGAATACTCGAACGCAGGCTTCAACTATCCCAGATACCAGGACTGTGGAGACAGAGGAAAAGTAGACAGGTGTCAGCGTGACCAGGTACAGCTGGGCGCGGAGAGCTCTCTGAACAGAACGCATTGCGCTCACACCCCCACTAATGACGCACGCTCGCCCCAACTCCCTTTCCCGTTGGGAGGTCCCATAGCACTGGAGCACGCAAACTCACACACACACACACACACACACAAACAACCAGTAACACTCACACTCACACACGACTAGCGACACACACACGCAGTAACATGCACACACACACACACACACTCAACTGATAAACTGAAGGAACAGGCTTCGAAGGGCTGAGCAGGCTCCTCGTTTCCCTATTTTCCTACTATTCCCAGGCAAGATTCCGTGAATTTGTTAAAAGGCCTGTGAACAAACGCTGTGCATTGGGAGGGGGTGGAGGGAGTGGGGAGTGGGGAGTGGGGCGGGGAGGTGTTGGGAAGAGAGATTGTGTCTCGGGGGCAGCTTTTCGCCTGCTCTTCAGGCAGATGCACTGAGCGCGTTTTCACAGAATTGGCAGATGCCAACGCTCTTTTGCTTGCCAACCGAGTGGCTTTGTCTTCCTGTTGGAATCAGCCAGGCTTCACTGCACAGCACAGCACAGCACAGCAAACCTGGCATCAGGCCCTGGCCTGGGATAGAGTCCCGGAGGCTATTGATATTAGATGCCACGGAGCAGGATGAACCCATCTCACTGACATACAGTTCTCCATCTGCAGAGATGCTAATTAAAGTAAGTAAGATAGGAAGGGAGAGGATGGGGGAGTGGGTGGGGGGGGGGGGAGAGTTGCAAATGATGACTCCTAGTTATCATTGAATTCAACTCTGAACTCGGCTTCGCTCTTGAAGGTCCACCCGAACAGGCAGGCGGGTCCACACAATGACAACAACAACAATAACTTGCATTGATATCGCAATTCCTCATTGCAGAAATATTTCCTTCAAAATACACTTCAAAAAATAATTTGGTGACTTCAACCCCCGACTGCTTGGGGGATGCTGCAGTCCACGTTTCGCCCACAAAATATACGGTCGATTCACTTCACGGCATATTCAGTGAAGGGCTTTGAGACATCTCGAAGACGTGATAAGGCGCTGTATCAAATGCAAGGATTGTTATTACTATACAGAGCGCCCTTCAAATTGGGTAATGTCTTGGAGCAGGAACCTCACAAGTGCTATGTTTAGAGTAAATTCCAGAAAAGCTAACTGGAGGAATCCCATTAATGTAAACACTCGGATTAATAAGGGCAAAACTGAAATCAACTCATGAACCGTCGAACACAGTTGTGTTTGGCTATACAGAAGATGATTTTTCTGCAGCCTTGTACAATCAGTGGACGTGTGGATCCTCCACAAACACATATCTGCCTCAGACACCACAAGGTCATATATGTCACAAGATCAGTTTGACTGAATAAAGCCCTTTGGCCCATCTGATCTCATCCTTACAGAACACCCGTCCTATTGTCCTCCCATTACAGCGTCGAGCTGTTTTATAAATGAGTCCCAGTATCCGGGCCTCTTCCTACTACCCTCAATTACCTAAACCTGTTCTGGTTGCCAATCACCCTCCGGGTAAAGAAATACTTCCTGGTGTCTGTCCTGAAATTGCCCCTTTGCAACTCTAAACCCGTGCCCCGGGATGGATATGTGAGCAGTTGTCTGTGGGTGGTTGGGACAAAACACAGGTAAGTGGGACTGAATGGATTGCGTTTTCAAGGAGCCAGTACAGACTCAATGGACATTGGACATCGTAGTGTTGGAGATGAGGAGAGAAGCAGAGATAGTCGTGGAGAGAGACACAGTCGGAGAGAAAGTGATTCTAAGGGAGAAAGATGGAAGGAGCGAAGGAAAAAGTCCAGGAGAGAAAGAAACAATTGGGAGAATCAGAAGGAGAGAAAAGAGTTTGCACAGTATGTATTACAGTGACATGAAGAACTCCAGACAGAACAGAACAGCAGTCATTATGCTTTATAGTGAATGCCGTGAAGCACTTTTGAGACATCCTCCCTTTGTGAAAGACGCTGCATCAAATGCAAGGATTATTATTATTGTTTAAGACGCCAAGCTAATTACATTATTCTGAGACGGATTTGGCAACGGAGTCTACAAACCTCATGTGAAAGCATGAAACGTCACCAGCAAATCACCCACGACTGCAGTTAACTATTGGATTTCTCTTTGGGTTAAACCAAGTTACCAATTGAACTCATTGCTGATTAGTTAACCTAATTTAGCTAGAAAAACAAGACTGGCATTTTGCAGCGATACACTGTAATCTGAAAGTAGCAATCATCTTCATTCACATTGCCCTGGCAGCAAATTAACTTAAGAGCCGAATTACTGAGTAATTTTTTTTCAACCGTACTCCTGTTGTAGATTTTGTTTGGCTGCGGCTTTTTTCGACGTTATAATTTGCTTCCAAACTGCAGCATCGAGCAGCGCAAACGACGGATAGTAAAAAGCTACAACCGCTCCACTCCGGGTCTCCCGCATCTATAGAAGCGAGAGGACCCGGGTTCGATTCCCACGCGGGGCAAAACCTTCGGCAAGTTTCTTTACTGCACACGCCTTTATTGACCTAGCAGCAAGTAGGAACCTGATTGATAGTCAACTGGCAGATCGCTTTCCGAGGGTAATAATCCTTCCCCCCCAAAAAAATGGTCAATCAATTTGTGGGACATTGCTGTGCGCAATTTCACCTCAACCACTCCCAACCCCCAGCATTGGATTGGAGCATCAGCCTAGACTGTGTGACGTAGGGCTTGATCCCTTCTGAATTTTGAATGTCTTCCCGTTAAGACAACCATCTGGCTGATATACAGATGCTATGGAAACGAGAGTAAATCTGGACCCAAGTGAACATTTCTCCTCCACTGTTCCTTTCCCTTGACAAAACCTCTTCCACGTGTTTTACTTGACTCCCTTCCAGATTCAATCTGAAGCAGATCCAGTTTAGATTCTTTTGTCTGAGGGTCGGTTACGGTCAGCCAGAAACCCCTGAAGGCATTTTCCTTTCCTTACGATTTCGTAGCTTTTGTCCTCTTCCAGAGAACTACTACATCCAACATCATTAACCTCGTTTATCCAGCAGACATCGCCAGGAAGATCGCAGATAGGGAGGCTGGGGTCAGACAGCTCTGACACGCTGCTGAACAGATACTTAAGGAAATAGGAAATGGATTGAAACCAAACTTCTAAACTCTACAGGCTAAATAAAGTCTGTAACTAAGTTTGGAAGCAATGTGGCTTTACGTAAACCAGACAGGTCTTATTTCAACGGAAATGGGACTATGCGGAATGGAACACTCGTTCAATGGAGCAAAAGATGTGGCAACACCACTTTTTGGCTGGAGTTAATTATTAAGCTCTTCCCTCCCCCCTCTCCCCCCCCACCCACCCACCCATCCACCCACCGCTGAATGAGGATTGCGAAACCCACAGACGTCAGTGGGGCAGACTTTGCCAAGAATAGCTGTGATTCCCGCACTGACTGCGATTGTGGTCAAAGGCAACTTTCAAAGCAAAAGTGTCAAGGTCATTAAATGGCCATTGTGGGTTGGTTTTTTTTGGTGGCGTAAATCGGTGTGAGATAAAGGGAGAGAGAGCGAGAGAGAGAGAGGAGAGAGGGAATAAGAGAAGAAAGAAAAAAATGTCGAAAAATAACTCGCATCGTCAACGGTAAATGTCTTTGCCGGTTTGTTGCCAAGGATAATCTCCTGTGGAGCGCAGGGGGTGCGGAGATATGCCTCAGTTGAGACGTTAAGGCGAGTTCCCGCCTGCGCCTGCTCAGGTGCATCCCTCCATACTATTCTAAGATGTTTGGATTGCTGAGGCAATGGCTGCCGTTCGCCTAACGTCTCTGGCCGTCAATCCTCCCGATAAGAGACAGTTTCTCTTAACGTCCTTGGCCGTCAATCCTCCCGATAAAAATCGGTAATTCACTCTGTGGCTGTTTTGACGAGCACTTGTCGTGCGCGGGAACTGGCTGCCGTGCTTGCCCTGCAGAAGAAACACCCTGCGCTTTGCAGTAAGACCCCGCCAGGCCCTCGGGAGTCGCGTTTGACAAGGTGACGAGGGGATAATATCAAGCGCCAGGGTTCTTATTATGAACAATTTTAATCACGTTCGGAAGTGACAGCCCTTTGGAACCGGGGCTCCTGAGGTGGTGGCGGTGGTGGTGGTGGGGGGATGAAGGGTGGGGCTGTTCTTGCTCGGAGGAGAGAATGAGAAGCTCGAGCCACATCGATCGGCGTCTTTCCCGGTCTGAGAATTCCTCCCCCTCGCCCGCGCCTTGAGGTGCCTGGGAAATTGCAGGGGCTCAGCTGTGCCACGAGGTGTCAGTGTTTTGCATTCATGACCACAGTCGCTGCTCACAAAACCCCCAGTGCTACAGTGGGTTGGGTTGGAATGATTTGGGGGCCGAGAGCAATTCCTCCCAATGGTCTGCGCTGCCTAAACAACCGTTGGAAATAATAAATCTCCGTCCATGACATAAACACCCAACCGGAGACATTCATCATCATCATCATAAAAATAATAATCTTTGCATTTTAATATAGCGCCTTATAACGTCATGGAGACGTCTCAGAGCGCTTTGCGGGACACGCTGTAAAGCGAATTGACCGTAGGGTTTGGCGGGCGAAACGAAACCCGCCAGACCGATCGCGCTGACTGGTCGAACGCGTCGTTCGGTTGCCGTCGGCTCACCCTCACGTAAAGAATCACCGAGCCCAACGTTATCAATAATAGTGAGCCTTGCCTTACGATGACCCGCCTTTCCCGTAGGGAGGATGCCTCAAAGCGCCCCAGGGGATTCACTGCCAAGTGTGGTCACTGGGTATTTGAAGGAGTGCGAGGCAATCACCTTTCACACAGCGACGCGCTTCGAAACACCTTAACCCTAACGGTCTGCCTGGCTGAAGCTAGTTGGTACTTGGGGCCTGAGCTGCAGCAATAATCTTCCATTGTTCAGTAATTTCTTGATCTT